CACCCCACCCCCTTAAGGCTAACCCGGGCTGAGGGAGACAGAACGTCCCAGCAGACATAATATACAAATATACTGTATGGAGATGATCGATCTCGAGCCAAAAAAAAACTCTTTCCACACAGTAATCGAACTAATGTCTTCTGCGTGCAACGATGAAACCCTTCCTTTTCGTGGCATCACATTGCATACGCTGATGGGTGGGGTTTTTTTTTTTTTTATGGGAAGCTCAGAATGTCAAATAACCTTCTTGGACTGAAGTTGGTAATAAACCTATACCCCTTATACTACTGTGAAGAAATGAGATGACTGGTCGTTAATGATTAATTAATTTTGGTAATTCCTCTGATAAACTCGTGAAGCTGCAAGAGACTGAACCCGTTGAGAAACAACTCCCAATACAAGGACGTATTCATTCACCGTATTCTCCATTCACTTCACTCATCCCTTATCTTGCGTTGCCGGGGGCAAACTGAGCCGTGAAGATATTATCGAGATTTGTCACCATGTCCCTCTGTCTGTTCTCCTGTCGAGAAGCTCTCTTGCCGACAAACCAGTCCATTCGTTTAGCTTTAGGAGAGTTTTACGGCACTTGCAAACCAATGTGATCATATAAGTGCCGAAAGTACTTACTTACTTACTTGGTTGGAGAATAGGCATCTTTGCAGGCGGCACAATGCCATAGCTGCTCCTCCCTCTTCTCCAGGATCCATGAATAGGTCTGCCTGCTGATCGTGCCAGTTACCAGAAAAGTTAAAGGCGTTACAAAAGAGTAACCAACACAAACAAAAAGGAAAGATAAGGACGATAGATATTTGATGGGAAAGAATGGAGCAAACCACACCAGAGCATCCGCCAACCAACCGCCGCCAACCACCCGCAGTCTATTGTTTAACGTTGTCAAACCAGCTTTTCCTTTGTCGTCCTGTTTCGGCTGCCGTTAATAATATGCTCTGTGTGGTGGTTTGTGTGGCTAAAACAGCACCTAGACATGGATGGCAGGTGCCTCTATAAATGAATTATTGATGGAGTGATGGTTTTAGCACGGCTTTCATGTTAGGTCGTGTGTCCGAACCAGGCGAGCGGGTGGTCGGAGGGCGCTACTAATCGGTCTTTCCTCTTAACTTTCCCTCTGTTGTTACTGTCTGTCTGTCTGACATTTTTCCAGCTCTAAATGACCATTTTTGTATCGATGTGCTTCTCTCTATTCAAACCAACAAACGAGGCAAGTTTTCTACATATTTAGCGAGAAGTGGTACTCCAACCAGATATATATTGTCTATTTTTAATCTTTCAGCGCTGGCGTTGGACGCACTGGCACTTACATATCCGTGGACACACAGCTGGAGAGGGCTAAGTCTGAGGGAATCATTGACGTGCACAACTTTGTCCAGCACATGCGCACACAGAGGGTCAACATGGTGCAGACGCTGGTGAGTACTCGGTGCGCGGGACTTTGTGTGGGTTAGAGAGAGAGAGAGAGAGAGAGAGAGAGAGAGAGAGAGAGAGAGAGGGTGTGTGTGTGTGTGTATGTGTGTGTATGTGTGTGTATGTGTGTGTATGTGTGTGTATGTGTGTGTATGTGTGTGTGTATGTGTGTATT